CTTCAAGTGGAGGCCCAGGATGGCCTTAGAAACAGGCAGCATCTGTGTGGGCCCCGTGGGCCGCTAACAAAGCCCTGGGCTTTTCCTCCTTTCTCTCTCTTCCTCTGTTTTGTACCCAGCAAGTTTACTTGGTTTCCTCAGAGATGGGCAGGTTGGACTCAGGCTTTGGGATCACCTACAGCTTTCCACCTTCCGTCCTGAACTTTCTGAAAGGCCAGAGTTAGGAAGGCTGTGGGTCAGGGTGTCCGTCTGAGGTCTCCTGGCACAGGCAGGCTGCTCAGGTAGCCTCAGACTCACCCGCCTCCAGGACTGGACAGACAGACAGAAGAGCAGAAAGAGCCGCTCACTATTTGGCACAAACCAGACCAAGAGAACTTACAATAGAAAGTTTATTTTTTGTTTCCAGTCAGTATTTTTTCCTTAAAAACAAATACAAAAAAAAAAAAGCTGATCACAGTTTGCTTAAACAGCCAGACTTGGACAATATTTGTAACTTTGTTCACAAAAACATACATCACTGAAGCTGCGCTTATAAGAGCCACTTCCAGAGTTCGTGCAAAGGGTCCTACAAAGGCACGCAGGGACACACCGCTCGGAGTCACAGTTTTCGTCACAGAGTCACTAGTCACTACACGTCAAACAAGTTAAGTTGTGTCTCATCAAGTCACCTCTACAACAGCATTAATTACACAAGGAATATAGGTAGTTTGAATAAAAATATCTTTAACAGCTTGGAGCTATTGAGACAGGAACACTTCCACTCACATGCACAGTTAAACAACTGGAGTGCAACACACAACATTGGCACTAAACGAGGTCGAAGGGGGACTTTTTTGTGTGTTTTTTTTTCTCTTTTCTTTTTTGTTATAGTTACTTCAAGTAACACAGCTTGCTTCATATAAATAAGTTAAAACATCTATTTTTTTTTCAAGACAAAGCCATTCAGGACAAAGAGATGAACAGAAAGCAGATCTACTTATACAGGCGCTATAATGGCAATAAACAGGCTCATGATTAAAAGATGAATTAGGGCAACGAGAACAGGGCTTCTTCACAGAAGGAACACAGGGGAGTTTCAGAAAGTCACCTTAGTACTGACACTACGCGGGGTCCGCTAATACTGCTCAGTACTTTAAACGCTCAAATACTCAGGGGCGGAAGGCCCCTCCTGCCGCCGCCATGCTCATGCTTTTCAGCTTATTATCTTTTTTCCACTTCATTCTCCGGTTTTGGAACCAGATTTTAATTTGTCTCTCGGAGAGGCAAAGAGCATGTGCTATTTCAATCCTCCTTCGGCGGGTCAGGTAGCGATTGAAGTGGAACTCCTTCTCCAGCTCCAGGGTCTGGTAGCGCGTGTAGGCCGTCCGGGCCCTTTTGCCTTCCGGGCCGCCTATGTTGTCTGCAACAGAAAAGTCAGCGGTTTAGCCACCAACTCCTCAGCCCCTGGCCACCAAAGTCCGCCAGCTGGACGAGCCAGGGTCCTGAGCAGGGAACAGGAGAGAAAAAGCTCAACAAGTCCTCCCTCTTCGCCCCCCCAATTTCCTTCCCTCTTCCTTTCTAGAGAGAAAACAATACGATTTGGACTCTGGGAACAATCAGGCCATCTGAGGCTGGAGCTGCGCCCCTGAGGATCCCTCGCTCTCCCCCCAGCCCTCTCCTACCCTCTGGCCCTGCCCTGGTGCCCCGAGGCGAGGGCACAGCCCTTCCAGGCTGCCGTTCAGAAACCCACCAAAGCAGGGCCCTTTTCTGAGCGCCCAAGTGGCCTCTAGATCACTCTCCCTTAAAGTTCCAGCCCCGAGAGCCGCCGCCTGTTCCAGCCTGCACGCTTGGGGCGCCTGCTTTCTTTTTCTTCCCTTTCCTTTCCTGCTCTTCCTCCTGCCCCCAAACTTCAGAGTCCCGCCGGCTCTCGCCGGGATTATGCCCCCCAAGCCCCTTTTCGGGGACTCTAATTAGTAACGCTGTTTCCCCAGCGTAGCCCTCCTCATAAATTATCCGTCCTGACAAGCCCGATTCACAGCCCCTACTGCCATCCTCTACCTCTGCGCCCTGCTTGGCTGGTCTGACCCGGGAGCGCGTTCCGAGGCGCTGGGGTTCGACCTGGGTTTTCTCCTTTCCCCCTTTCCACGTCTAAACTTGCCTATCCAGCGGCTCCCACCACCACCACCACCCCCACCCTGAGAACTCAGGGCGCTGCGAAGAAGCGGAGGAGGATGGAGGAAGGCAGGGAAGGAGACCGGCGGGGAGAGGCTCCACGGGGCTGGGAGAGGCAAGACCAGGAGAGAGAACGGGGAGAGAGGGCGGTAGAGGAGAGAGGGAGAGGGAGACGGGGAGCCGCGCCCCCGCGGCCGCGTGGATTTAGAAAAAGGCTGGCTTTACCATGACTTATGTGTAGCTTGCGCATCCAAGGGTAGATCTGGGGTTGGGCAGGCGGCGCCGGGCTCGGCTCGCTCTGCGCGCTCGCCTGCTCGCTGCTGGCGGGGGCGTCCTCCTCGGCTCCGGACGCCGTGCCAACCCCCTCTCTGCTGCTGATGTGGGTGCTGCCGGCGTTGGCCGAGGCGCCGCTGGAGTTGCCCAGGGAGTTTTTCCCGCCGTGGTGGCTGTCGCTGCCGGGCGAAGGGGCCACGGCGGAGCAGGGCAGCGGGTCGGGCGGAGGCGAGTGCGTGGACGTGGCCGGCTGGCTGTACCTGGGCTCGGCGGGCGCCGCGCTGGCGCCGGCCGCGTAGCTGCGGGCGCGTTCCCCGGAGCCAAAGTGGCCGGAACCCGAGCGGCCGACGCTGAGATCCATGCCATTGTAGCCGTAGCCGTACCTGCCGGAGTGCATGCTCGCCGAGTCCCTGAATTGCTCGCTCACGGAACTATGATCTCCATAATTATGCAACTGGTAGTCCGGGCCATTTGGATAGCGACCACAAAATGAGTTTACAAAATAAGAGCTCATTTGTTTTTTGATATGTGTGCTTGATTTGTGGCTCGCGGTCGTTTGTGCGTCTATAGCACCCTTGCACAATTTATGATGAATTATGGAAATGACTGGGACATGTACTTGGTTCCCTCCTACGTAGGCACCCAAATATGGGGTACGACTTCGAATCACGTGCTTTTGTTGTCCAGTCGTAAATCCTGCCTGATGACCTCTAGAGGTAAACTCGTGCACTAATGGGGGAGTTGGGTGGAGGCGAGAGGGGTGGAGCGCGCGCCCCGGGCGCGTGCCCGCCGCCCGCCACCGCCGTTCAGTCGGACTCGAGCGCCACCCGCTGGAGGCAGGGCTCATCGCTCCGCTTCCGACCCGGGGCTGCAAGGGCCGGGGTCGAATTGAGGTTACAGCCCATTATGGCAAAATTATTGCATTTCCCTCGCAGTTCCATTAGGATGTACCAATTGTGAGGCCGTCAGCTGCCGATCGCGTGCCCGGCGAGGATGCAGAGGACTGGGGGGAGATGGTGACTTGGATTTTATTTACAACAACTTTATTTCCCCGCTGTGCAGCCCCTCTTATTTTTATGTCGAGGTTGGGGTCGGTTCTGCCCGTCACGCCGGCAGCTCTGAAATTTGAAAATACAGATATCACCTTCAGGGGAGTGGGGGGAAGCCATTTAGCCAATTGGAGAAATAAATCCTGCCCTGGGCAGTCGCTACAATTACGGCTCTGTTTTTGGCGAGCGCAGGAGGGACAGTGCCGCCGCTCCTAAATGACAGGCGTCTATTAAAGATAGCTTTTGTGTAGTGCTTCTCCGAGGCGAGGTCACATCCCACACACTTCTATAACCAGATTCGATTTTCCTTTCTTGTAAATTTGGCTTTTCGTGTCATTAGCTTGCTGTTTGCTTTGCTTTAAAGATCCAGCCTGGAGAATCTTCACCACTAGGTCTTTTTCCTGGAGCCAGGCGGGCCCCAAGTCGGAGGGGTTCTAGGTGAACCCAGCGAGCGGGCCGAGGCTCCCCGCAGCTACAGAAGCTGCTTGGGGGCTGGCGATTTCTGGGCCGCGTTATTAGGGTTTTGCTTAGACCTCCAGGAGTGAACTGAGGGCGCTAAAGGAAGCATTTCCAGACAGTGCTCACATCCCCGTAGTTATTTTCCTGGGTTCTGAAAGATGAAAGTAAACCACAAATGCAGCTGAAAGGCAGGGGAGGGTTTCCCCGCTGGAGGCCCTGCGTCGCAGACGCCCCTGGCAGGCTGGAAACCATGATTCTTGCCGCTCCCACGGCTCTGGGCCCCCTCCTCGGGTCCCGAAAGCGCTGTTGGCACTGTCGGAGGCGAGGAGCTGGATTCCCGAGTCCCGAGCCTTCGGGAGCCCAGCCGGTCCCGGGCTGTGCAGTTCCACCCGCGCTCAGGTTGACTGGGCTCGGCTGAGGCTCCTTCTCTTCCACGGACGGTGGTGCGGGGCAGAGAGGCTAGACTCTCCGGGGGGAGGGGAGCCTTTGTTCCTGGAGCTCCTTCCTGTCTGGGGGCAGCCTGGGAGGCCACCGCAGTGCTGGGGCCCCAACCTTTAGGTCCCCTCTTTGCAGTGGCCAGAGTCGATTTGGTGGTGCCTTCCGGGACTTGGTGGCGAGGGACCGGGGCCAAAATGCCCAGACAGGAAAAGAGGGTGGGTCCCGGGGTTCTTTCCTCTCCAGCAACCCCGAGGCCCGTGCCAGAGGCGTGCAGAGGCGCTACACAAGAGTCAGGGACGGATTTGGGGCGCGCGCTGGGATCCGGAGCGGCTTGGGCAGCCTTGGAGAGCGGGATTGTGTGTGCAGTGCGCCCCGCTCCACCGCTGGGATTGGCTGTGTGTGTGTGTGTGTGTGTGTGTGTGTGTGTGTTATTGTTGTTGGTTTTTTAATGTTGTTGCTCTTTTTTTGTAAGAAATAAATGCTCAGGCGTTTGCAAAGCTCCGGGCTCCCCCTGAAGCTGCGTAAGCCCCCCAGATGATAGCAGGCAGGGAGAAAGGTTGGGGAGCAGGCGAAGGCAAGGGAGCAAAGCCGAGGGAGGTCGCGCCGCTGGCCTGGTCCCTGCCCAGGCGCCTACTCGCCCGCTTTTGCCTCAGCTTCCTCCCCGCTGGGCTGTGTGGAATTGATGAGCTTATTTTCCTTTTTCCACTTCATGCGGCGGTTCTGGAACCAGATCTTGATCTGGCGCTCGGTGAGGCAGAGCGCGTTGGCGATCTCGATGCGGCGGCGCCGGGTCAGGTAGCGGTTGAAGTGGAACTCCTTCTCCAGCTCCAGCGTCTGGTAACGCGTGTAGGTCTGGCGGCCTCGGCGCCCGTGGCTCCCGTACACAGCACCTGCGGGCAGAAAGGACCAGGCGCCCGTGAGCCTGGATCTGGGCAGCTGAGCCAGTCAACCCCGCACCCCAAGCCTCTGGGCTGGAAACCACCCCGCCTTCACTCTCCCCTCTCCCACTGTCTTGGGCCAAAAGCCTCCTGATGGGAGAAGATTATTTCATACCAAGCGAGATGTTTTCCACCTAAAATGACTTGGGGTGGGAACTTATTGTTTTTTAAAAACCTGCTCAGTACAAAACAAAATTACAAGCAAAAGAATATAACGGGCGTTCTTAATTTGGGGTACCTAAGTCATGTTTTGTGGGAATGCAGTGTGTGTATGTCTGGGAGTGGGGGTGTGGAACCCTATGAGTAGGGTAGGCACACTGCATCCACATATGGATGTCTGTGGAGATGTGACTGTGGCCAGGCATCCCAGGATGGCTGGAGAAGCACTCCGTGTGCTTTTTGGGAAATTAAGAATGGTCGGCCTTCTCAGATCTTTGCAAATTCCCCCAAATTGTATGGCCCCATCTGAGAAATGCAAAGCTTCCTTGAAAAAAAAAAAAAACCAGTGGATGTTAAAGCAAAACACCATAAGTTTTCAAATTCGCATTAGGCACTGTCCTGCTCCGAGGATTCCCTGTGGAGTTTTTGGGAGCGATGGGCCAACTGGGGTTCCTGGAAATGTAGGACTGTGATGGGCTATTTGTTCTGGTGCCAAAGGGGCCCGTGGGTGGGGGCTTCCCTCCAAGCTGGGTGACTGAGATGCGGGCAGGGTCTTAGAAGGAGGCAGAAGTTGGCTGTAAGTGAGCAGTTGAGTGGAAGTGGGAGGAGGGGAGGGAGGAGAGAGAAGAAATACTGCAACTGGGGATGTGGCCCTCCAAGGCTTTGGGGTAACCCTGGAAGAGGCTAAATAAGGGCCTCTTTCTATATGAGTGTATGAAGGGCAGAAAGGAGACGGGGTTGGCAGGTGAAGGGGAATCATCAGTGATGGGTGCAGAAGGCCATCTGGGTTTGGGAATCTGAGCAGGGTGCTACCTGGGTGCAGTGTAGGTAGGATCTCCCTCCCATCCAGCCTGGCTCTCTCTTTAGTTTGCTCCTTTCTTGGGGCTCACATAGCATGGGACTGACCCCCCCACACACACACACACTCCTCTAAGGTGTCACCTTACATGGACACTAGTGCCCTGCCTTCACTCTGCCTCAGCTTGATTGCTCCGTTGGGAATGGGTTGGTATTTTTTTTAATCTCTTTTTTTAAAAGCTAAAGAAACTTTGTTCATTCTTTCCTCCTGTCTTTCTATTTTCCTTCCTTCCTTCCTTCCTTCCTTCCTTCCTTCCTTCCTTCCTTCCTTCCTTCCTTCCTTCCTTCCTTCCCTGCCTCCTTCCCCCTCTCCCTCCACTCTCTAGGGGGGCGGGTGCTGCAGGGAAATGTCTTACCCGCACAGGAGTTCATCCGCTGCATCCAGGGGTAAACAGGACTCGTGTACTTCCGGTCGGTGCCTTCGTCATGGAGGGCTTTGCCAGGCACGCTGCTGCTGTCAGATTTGTACTGCTGCTCGGGAGAAAAGTGCAGGTAGTCCCCGGGGCCCCTCTGCTTGCCACTGCCCGAGGGCGAGGCGCCACTGAGGTCCTTATCAGAATAGAAACACGAGGCCCCGTACTCGTAGGACGCCCGGTTGCAGGCCAGGACCGAGTTGGACTGTTGGTAGAAACAAGGTGAGGTGTAGGTCTTGTCCGGGAGGCTCGACGCCCCGTACGAGGCCGGGAAGGGCCTCAGCGCGTCATAGCCGGCCGGGTAGAGGGGCAGCTGGCCCAAGAAGGAGTCCTGGCGCTGGGCAGGCTCCCGGGGAAAGTGGGATTCACAAAATAGGAACTCATTT